TATTTCTGTTATGCAAAAACGACTGTCACATGTGATGTAACCTGCGATCAGACGATTTTTTTTTTTTAAACCACCTGATCGCAGGTTACATGTGATGTTGCGGCACCTGTGCTGTAACCATGAATGACAGAGTGGCAGAAATGGGATTACCGTATTTTCTCGAATAATAGCCGCGGGCGATTTTTTTTTCGCACAAAAAGGGGGCGATTATTCGAGAAGGCGATTATTCGAGGGAGGCGATTACTTCAAATATTGCTCATTGGAAGACATGCCCTAAATATTTTGTTTTGTTATTTCATTAGAACAAGAAAAATGGTCACATATGGGCTTTTTAAGAGTTCCAAATTTAGCTCCTTAATTAAGTTTCAATGTCAATACCCTCGGCGTTAGAGCTTGAATTGTCACTGATCAGCTCGGCAGGGAGGGGATAAAAGAAAGAGAAGAAGGCAAGAGGGGTAGGGGCGGGCGATTATTCAAGGGAGCCGATTATTTCAAATATTTACGTCTGAAGGAGGCGATTATTCGAGGGACTGCTATTATTCGAGGAAATGCGGTACTTATTGCTTACGATCACTGCATCTTGTCTTCTAAACATGCTTTCAATCGCAAAAAGAAAAGGAAAAGAAATGAAACTAGGGCCATATGGTAGTCTGGGACCATTTTATAGGAAGAATCATTGACATCGAATATTACGCTTTGGTGGTGAATAAACTATGTCTATGGCCTGTTCCTTTGTTTAACCGTATTTGCATAATAATTATGCCCCAAACAGTATTTATATACGAGCTCAAAACAATAGTAAACAATAGTGCTATGGATGCATATAGAAACAAAGAAAAGCAAAGGTTGAACCACAAGCAGAAGTAATAACCGCAACTTTTACAGTACTGTGGGTTCCTATGTACCTGTCTATGAAGTCGCCACGTCTCCCCTCCCCGCCACACCCCCCATCCCCGTCAAGTTTTGACAGTACTTTTTGAACGTCGAAAAAAAACTAAAATCTAATTATATAAATAAAGAGCCTTAATTTTCTTTGTCAAGTCAAGCCGCCCACGAACGCCTGCTTTTGATCTTTGCTGAGCTAAATTCATGTTATGGATACCGTGTCACACAACGTAATTATGCAATTGAATTACTTTCCCCAATCGGTGCTAAAGAACTCGAGTTATTAGTTGTATAAAGGAAATAAATGGTTTACTTACACCAAAACTAGCCCTGGAAAATAATTCCTCCGTTTGCGATACTCAAGCCAGACATCTACTATCGGCCTTCGAGGATATTTTCCTTCTGCACGAAATACTTTCTCGATATCATCTGGTTCGATAACATGTACAGATGTTAAGGGACTCAGCGTCCAGCGTTCTTTGTAAACAGGACCAAGTTCTTCAAACAAGCGCTCAGTTACTTTGAATCCTTTGGTAAAGCGCTCGGTTTTCGTGCAAAGATCGTACATAAACTTAAAGCTATTAGGTTCTGGAATGTCTTCGAAAGCGCGCACTCCATTGAAGGTTTTTTGGCTGTCTAGCGCCCTTGCCTCTGTTCTCTGCGACCTCCAGTACAGCGTTAAAGGTTTAAAATACTGTCTTCTCTGAAGGACATTCCTACGACAAACAGTGCTCGTGGACAACATTACGTTTAAGAGGGGCTACGTTTTTTAGCTGTCTCATACAATAAAGAAGATTATCCAAAAAAGCCCCGAATGAAACCCAACGATACCGGCTGAATAATCGCGAGTTGACAAAACTGCGAAACTTGTGACCTGTCCGCCAATCAAATATTGTTATGTCTTGTGCAATAACAAAACCAAGTCCCAGGAGAGTTTTTTAATTTTCTTTCTTTCTTTCTTTCTTTCTTTTTTTTTTTTAAAGAACACGCAATTGGAAATATGGAACGGACCTAGGAGTTGGAAATAAAAAACAAAAGTGAGCACTCAAGATTTGAAACAGTTGATTGTCAGTTATCTCCTTTATTTAACCGTTTCTGAACAAAGCTACCGGCAAACTTCCGTTTCAGTTCCGTTAACACCATCCGTTCGTATTTTTTTAAATAATTTAACCAACCGTACACTTATCCGGACAAATTTGAAAAACAAAACGCTCAGTGGTGACGCCTGGGGTCTGTTTCTCGAAAGGTCCGGTAACTTTTCGGGTCCGAAGGCATATTTTGGAATCAAGACCAGTTGAATAGTAGTGTAGTTCCTAGCTCACAAACCAGTCAATTTTGCTTCGTTAACTGATAGGTTCATTGTATCATTCTAAAAATTAATGAAACTTTGATCCTGAATGCAAACACGGCGAACATAAAAAACCTTTTCGGGTACGAAAAGTCATCGGGACTTTCGAGAAACGGGCCCCAGGTCATTTTAGGGTCGTTGCTTCCGAAATTAAAGCTCGGTTAGGACCCTTCTGACTTAAAAGGCTACAAAAAACAAAACAACTGTAGCAGCATTTCTACACGGTAACTCGATTTACCACTGATTTATCAACAGAACACGAACGTCAGTTGACGACTGCGCGCGCAAATCAAACAACTGCCTTGGCGAATGGTAGAGCGGCAAATTGGGGACCGGAAGTCGCGTTTTTTCCTTTCCGCGTCAAATGACGTTCCTGTTGTGCTGCTAAATCAGCCTACGTGCGTTCTGATTGGACAAAAACTTATCGTTTGTCATGTCATATACCTGTAACGTAAACTGATAGAAAACGCCATCCAGACCAAGAGCTATGCACAAAGCCAGCTACTGATCTGAAAACAACAATTTTGGAAGAGCTCAAAAACGTTGATTTCCCATTTTAATACTGCGTTTCACTATTCGCTTTTTCCATAGTTTTAAACGTTATCATGTAAAAGGCTAGAGAGCAGTTTTATTTATATATCGCGACGATGCGAAATCACAAAGTAAGACCACAGGCACCCCAATCTCAGTATGAAAGTTTTTAGCGGAGCTCTCGCGCGCGAAGCGTACGCAGCGAAGCGCCATGGGTAAGAAAATTTGGTAACGTATGCATCCAGGAAATTTTGGTTCTGAGAAAAGCGTCCGTACGGAGTACGTCCGTACGTACGTCCACCCCTTCATGTAAGAAGGGATGAAATTTTGCATTTCAAGCACCCGCGAGTTTTTGCGGTAAATGACATAGCTTCTCTGACTTTTAGAGATAAAAACAACAACAACAAAGCCTATTCTTTATTTCGACTTAATTTTAATGTCTACATTGACGTGGATAACAGAGAAAGAGCTAGAGCGAGACAAAAAACGAAGGAGACCAATTTCGTTGGAAGAAACTAAAACATAAAAATTTTAAAAAGTGGGAAGTGCTAGCGACCACCAAGGTGAAAGCGGCAGCGAAAAAAAGTCAACAGGAACACATAAAACATGTAACTAGGAAGTTTCTGGAAGTTTCTCGTTGTAGTCGTGCAAAACAACGGCAAAGAAATGTACAAAAAAGTGTGCTGCACGTGCAAAGTTGTTGTTGTTTTTTTTTTTGCTAATTAGACCTACTGATTTTTTCAGCCTTCCCTGAAAACTCACATGAATGTGCCCTAAAGTTAACTGATTTGTGGATTACAAGTTAATTATCTGATTTAAATTGTAAATTTATTATCGGGAGCTTCGCTTTTAGCCCCGCTAAATCTATATATTAACAGTGTTAATACGTGTGGTCACCTATTGCGTAATCCTTAAAGTGGCCGTGAACATAAAGGATTTGTATGGGAATTCAGGAAAAAGATTCAAGAAGATAAATACTCGTTAGAATTTTCAATCAAATCCACCTTACCTTATTTATTTTGCTTGTTTTTGCTTGCTGTGTGGTTATTTTCCCGATCCACTGAATGTGTTTTATTGAAAATTCTAGTAAGTATTTATCTTTTGTAATCTATTACCTGAATTCCCNTATATCGCGACGATGCGAAATCACAAAGTAAGACCACAGGCACCCCAATCTCAGTATGAAAGTTTTTAGCGGAGCTCTCGCGCGCGAAGCGTACGCAGCGAAGCGCCATGGGTAAGAAAATTTGGTAACGTATGCATCCAGGAAATTTTGGTTCTGAGAAAAGCGTCCGTACGGAGTACGTCCGTACGTACGTCCACCCCTTCATGTAAGAAGGGATGAAATTTTGCATTTCAAGCACCCGCGAGTTTTTGCGGTAAATGACATAGCTTCTCTGACTTTTAGAGATAAAAACAACAACAACAAAGCCTATTCTTTATTTCGACTTAATTTTAATGTCTACATTGACGTGGATAACAGAGAAAGAGCTAGAGCGAGACAAAAAACGAAGGAGACCAATTTCGTTGGAAGAAACTAAAACATAAAAATTTTAAAAAGTGGGAAGTGCTAGCGACCACCAAGGTGAAAGCGGCAGCGAAAAAAAGTCAACAGGAACACATAAAACATGTAACTAGGAAGTTTCTGGAAGTTTCTCGTTGTAGTCGTGCAAAACAACGGCAAAGAAATGTACAAAAAAGTGTGCTGCACGTGCAAAGTTGTTGTTGTTTTTTTTTTTGCTAATTAGACCTACTGATTTTTTCAGCCTTCCCTGAAAACTCACATGAATGTGCCCTAAAGTTAACTGATTTGTGGATTACAAGTTAATTATCTGATTTAAATTGTAAATTTATTATCGGGAGCTTCGCTTTTAGCCCCGCTAAATCTATATATTAACAGTGTTAATACGTGTGGTCACCTATTGCGTAATCCTTAAAGTGGCCGTGAACATAAAGGATTTGTATGGGAATTCAGGAAAAAGATTCAAGAAGATAAATACTCGTTAGAATTTTCAATCAAATCCACCTTACCTTATTTATTTTGCTTGTTTTTGCTTGCTGTGTGGTTATTTTCCCGATCCACTGAATGTGTTTTATTGAAAATTCTAGTAAGTATTTATCTTTTGTAATCTATTACCTGAATTCCCATACAAATCCTTTATGTTCACGGCCATTTTATTCATTACGCAATATGACACCAATCGTACCAATAAACAAAAAGCAAGCGCTCTGACACTCAAAGGCGGTCGACAAACTTGATCTTAACCGGTTGATCTGGAACAGTGAGCAGCTTGTGGCGCAAATCCAGTGGCTCATGATGATACGCTAAACGGAACCTCTGAAGTAACTGCAACAAAAAGAAATAGAACAGGTTAGAGATACACTCATTGTTGTTTGTTGTTTTTTGTAGCCTTCGGTCCACGGTCAAAAAGCCCCCAACATAACCAGTTTCATCTTCTATGGTTGAAAAAAAAAAACAGTGTAAAGACTAATTAAAAACACTTCATTAAAAACTGAACCACTGGATAATACAGTTTTAGAGCTCTGATTGGCTTAGCCATCACGGTATATGAGCCATTCGTAAAATCCAACTAGTGGTCTATTATCAATGCTGCGTTCTGATTGGTTGAGCTACTACTAGGCTATATGTTAAAGCCCCTTAGTAGCGAAAAGCGCGGGCTTTTTGGCGGCAAATTAAAAAAAGGATTAAAGTCTAGCTTTAACTAGCTAAAAGTTTTTTAGTCTCGATATTTTTGACCAACTAGTTGGATTTTACTAAAACAATTATTCCTCTCGCACTCATGGCCTCTGAGTCTATAGTCCATTTGGCCTTCGGCCTCATGGGCTATTGAGTCAGAGCCCATTCGGGCTAGAGGAATAATTGTTAATTATGCCATGCTCTCCAAATACGGTAACTGAACGGATCTGCTCAAAATTAAAAACAAGCTGAGTATCGGTTGGTTTTTGTTTTCTTTTGTTGTGTTTTGTATTGGTTTTTAGTTGTTTTTTTAAATAGTCTTTTATTTACAAATCGGTTCCTTTTACAAATACAGTTCGGAAGAATTCTCGATATTTTGTGGGCGTTTTTAATAAAACAATTATTCCACTCGCGCTTGTTTGATATGAGACTATTATCAGCCAACTCCTATCCAACGCGCACTCGTGGAGTAATTGTTAAATATACTTCGGAGTACTAACCTTGCAAACAAACACGTACATCGTATCTCAAGTTCAGCCACACGACTTACTACAGATATACAGAAAAAGAAAATATTCAGCAAGCGTGATAGTCAAGGTGTTTGCATTGGTTGTTGGCCAAGAACTAACTAGGCGTTTTCATAAACCTAGGCAAAGTCAAAAGGACGAGGATACTATATTCTTATTGACCAAACAACCTTGGTGGATACGGGATTTATTATATGGCAAAGGAAGGGGATTTCGAGCAGGAAAGATCTGCTGTTCTAATAAACAACCAGAACTTCGTTTTCCAGTTTACGAAAATCAGCCATAAGTGGTTGTGCTGAAGTCAGTAACTCTTACCGTAATGATGAAAACAACGACTCATTTTCATAAAAAGACTTCATATTCTTTATCTATGCTCGACACACACCAAAGCTTAAACGTTTTTAAAAGCTGTTTAGTTAAACAAGGTTTTAAAAAATTTCTTTCCCTCATAGAGACTGCCCAATCAATTTTTTCAACGACAAATTGTGCGAAATGGAAATTTACCTGAAATAGTCTCGGAAAAATCACGAATTTTCAATTTGTTTAACCTGGTTTAACTAAACATGTTTTGTTGGTGTGAATGAGGCTTACGGATAAAAACATGGCCATGATCAGCCGCGTGATAGGAACAACTGCAAATTTTATTTCATGAGACCCAAGGGTATTCTGGGAAGTTGTCTTGTTCTGTCTGCGCCCAAAATGCGACTACTGTGACTGAAAACTTACAAAATACCCATTCTTCACTGGCAGTCCTTGCCAAAGTTACAGCATATGTAAGCTACTGGCAGTGAGGGTGCGACAAAGAAGCTATCCCTCTTCGTCGTACCAGAGCCCAGAGCCGTAGCTAGCAAGGGGGGCAGCTGCCCCCCGCCCCTGGAACCGTTGAACCAAACACATCAAGTCTTTTGATGGATTTGTTTTCTTTAGACTCAGTTATTTTGATTATGGTGACTTGCAATTGTTTGCCATTTTCATATTCGAGGTCGATTTTTCGGAGACATATCTCATGACAAGTGCGGAGTTCAATCCACACAGGACCTTTTTGCTACACCAACATGGCCGCCTAACCTCGTCCCCAGGGTCTTCTCGCTTTCCAATATGACGGCGGCGCCATATTGGAAAGCGAGAAGACCCTCGGGACGAGGTTGTATTTTATTGTTTTCTACACCAGTATGACTGCCGTGACCTCGTTTGAAAAACATCAATATTCTCGGTTATCACTTTGGTAGAACATTTATTTGGCTATGTAAGCAATGTGGTTAACATAAGCCAAAGGCCACGTTCTTGACAAGACGTCACCTCGACCTACTTTCCTTTCGTAAACGGTCGTTGCCATTTTTAAAGTTCAATGCCACATTGGTAACCAAGACTTTAGTCATGATAGATGTAATATATTCCCTGGATTAAGATAAAATAAGGCAAATCAGTAATACGTGTTTGAATAGCCTTAGAAAGAACGATGTTGAAGCCCAAGTTGAATTTACGTGTAAAGCTATGGAGAGGGCTAGATTCACCTGTTATTGATGTATCACTTGAGAAAGGCAGTTTGCTAGTTTATGTACTTAAATTTTTCGGAATTTTTGCGGCTCGGTGTGGAAGTGTAGTGGTAAGGGAGAGAGATTACGATACGAAACGTACGGGCTCAACCCTGGGTTATGATCTTCTTTCTTTTTAATAGAAACACTATCAAAAACAGGTCAAAAATTTTCCAAGTGTCTTAAAATGGCAGCGACGGTTACTGTTTACAAAAGGAAAATTTGGTCGCCTCGACAGAATAGCTTCTCTTCTTACCGACGCGCATGCGTGGTCCAAATCCGAACTGCAAGTGCGAAAAGGGATGGGCCTCTTTACTTTCTCTAAGCCAGCGCTCTGGTTTGAAGTCCAAAGGATCTTTGAAGTACTTGTCTGAGCGAGTTGTGGCGTAAAACTCCAATACTATCAAAGTCTTTAGAGTTAATAGACCAATTTCGATATATTAATATTCGGCTCCTTGGCTTAAGAGTATAAAACAAAAGAAATCCAGAAATGAAACTCAGAATAGTTTCTTGGCTTTATTTACCCAAGCCTGGGCGCCAACTGTGAATTTTAATAGATTGAAACTGGAATATTTACAACAGTGAGTGAAGAGATATTTTACTTAAATTAGCCAGAGGAGATTAGCCCTCATTTCCCACTTACTAAGGTGTGGCATCTTAGATCTAGAACGGTTTTAAGATGACGAAATATTGTTTGTTTATTTTTTGTTTTTATTTGTTTGTTTGTTTGATTGATTGGTTGTTTGTTTTGCGGTGGAGGGAGATAGTCAGCCAAGACAGATTCAAAAAACCCTCACTTTCAAAATGAGGCCAAGTGCAGAACCTTGCTTGTGAACATGAGTTTTATTTGCATGAGAATGAAACATCACTTCCATATCAAAAGCTGAGCACTTAACCTCGTTTTGATACAGAGGCCTGAGGGGGCTCGGAAATGGTCTGTTTCTATGTGAGTGCAATTCTTTTATGCATGTGAATCCCAAGGGCCCGTTGTCTGAAAGTTTCGCCTGAAAAGCTGCTGTTTTTACATTCAAGATCGAGGTTTCAAAACTGATTTTGCAGATAACACAAATTATGGTACCGATCGCGAGTCTTTCGAGAAAGGTGCCCAAGTGCCAAGTTGTTTAACGCTTTAACAGTGGGTTGCATATCCCCTTTAATGCCCTTCCCCATACCCAACATTATTTTCCTGTAGAGTTATGAAGAAGATATTAAATTAACTAATTTCATCAGGAAGCACCACCAATAATATATTTTTGATGATATTTGATATTAAAACTCCAAATGTTGTCCCACCTAAAACGTTTTAATGCATTTCCATCCCTGCCATCCGAGGCAACAGACAACAGGAAACAGTTTCGACGCCAACACAACGTGTAGTCTTAAATAATAAAAATTGTGCCTTTTTTGGAATTCAATTGATGCGAAGACACGCCTTAGCTTACTAAAAATATAGCAAATAGCATGATGAAGCCCCTTTAACCCTTTAAGCCCTAAGAGTGATCAGCATCAAATTTCTCCTTATAATATCAATGCTTTGTTAAACAGAGTGGTCATGAGAATAACGGACATGATCACCCAAGATGAATTTGCTTGGTATTTTATCAACTTCTCCCCACAACGTCTGTAGGAAATGAATAGTGGCGACAAAAGAGAATTCATAGTTTGATCTTAGGGTTTAAAGCGTTAATTTATACACTTATCGTCTTCCGAACAAATTCGACCCAGAAATTTGTCTACCGGCACAGAATCCAGACCCAAGGTAGAAGCAATGCACAGATTGCTTAACAACCTCGGCTCCACGCCCTCCTGTTACCATAGCAACTAAGAAAGCACTTAGGAAATTAAAGTGGCTCTTGTTACTTACGTTTGCGGGAACATTGTATCCAGATAAAACAACATCTTCTTCCAAAATCCTTGACATGACTGGGAAAGTTGGGTTTAACCTTGAATGTACAGAAGCAAGATGTTGAAGTCGAACCGTGGCACCAAGAGGATAAAGGCACTCGATGGAGTGCCCAATAAAGCTACCGTCATATCGAGCCAACAGACCGTGTAAACTTTGGGTACGGTGTGACTGTTTACCCATAAATTGGATTTCAGGACCACTTGTGCTAGAGCGTAACTTTTTTGGGGATTAAGGTAAATCCTGAATGCTCTCGGTTTTTGGTCATCTCAGATTTAAAAGGAATAACACACAAACTGCGGTTACAAACATCAGAAATAACAAACGCATTGTATAAGTGACTTTTATAATATCGAACTTGACGTTTCGTGTGCTTCAACGTACATCTTCAGAAGTGACTGTTAACATACCTTTAAGCTTGATTCTTCTAATAAGTAAATGGCAGGCATGCATCTGGCACCAAACGAAACAAGAGATCAACTGCAATTTAGCCGGGTGTTAGCACTGCTGCATTCGGTTGTAATGCACTGCGTATGCAACCCTTCAAGAAGCCTTTGCATAGCCAGTGCAGTT